AAATAAACAGAAAAACTGGTAATGGGTGCTGCAAGTTAAGTTACCTTCTCTATAGTTAGCAATTCAAAATTATTAAGTGGAAGATAGCCTTAGTAGCTTAACTAGCTTTGTCATAACAAAGACAAGGTGAGCAAGTTTGGAGGCAATATTTCAATAAATTGTTTAATTGGAACAATAAAAAATTGTGATAACCAAAACCTTTAATTTTGATTATTTTTGTGACAACTGATTTAATCTAATTTGAACCAGTGCAGCATTCAGCATATTACATGACACACAAAAATCGATGTTTAACTGTGTTTGTTTAATATATACTTAAAATTAAGAAATTAAACAATGTATAATAGTAAAATTTGAATTATAATCTACAGTTTGATTCCAAACTTATTGACATAAATTCATGAAATAGTAGTTCAATAAAATTTTGAATACGAGTCAACAAATGCGATGACATGGCCTTTGACCCATGAACCATCTGGAGAGGGTTAAATGCTTTTCTGAGCAATGTCACTGTTACATTCAAAATTTATTTAAACACCTTTACTATCAATATATGTGAATGAAATTAATATTATAATGTATGTTATGATCCAAAGTCCTTTATATGAAAATAAACCTTTAAAAAAAACTACTTAGAACTATAGATGTATTGTCACATGACCAACAAGCTATGAAAATTCTCTACTTTGGCTCTCTGTACCTTCAATAATACAATGGTAGTTAAGGAGAGGTACATCTAGACAATAAGTTGCTTAAGTAACCTTTTGACTCATTCATTTCAACATTCTCTAAATGAATACAGTTGAAACAATAATTTTTTCAACCCCTGACAGATGCCACACCCACCTTTAATAGATTTATTTGAGCTTTATAGCTTACATGTAGATGCTACATACACATGTGTATATTCATTAGAAATATAATTGTTTTACATTATCATATAACAACAGATATTTTGAAATTGGCATGCAATTTGTCATCATAAATTGCATGGAATTGACTTTAGTATTGTTGGCTGCTCAACCTCAACATAAAACGGCAGTTACTATAATAAGCACCACCCACATACATGTTGTAAAATCCAGAGAACAACGTTTCATCAAGTGCTTTGATTAACATCCTATGATTTGTCAAACGTGAAATACAGTGATTGGAATAACATGGTACTGAAATTGACACCTTCAACTAGGATTGGCTAAAAGTTTTACAACTGAGGTTCAATATGCCCAGATGCTGTTTTATAAAGAAAACAGACTAGAAAAAGGTTTAGATACAATCATAGATGGCAGGACCAGCATTGAAGTGCAAGGAAACATTTGTTTTTTAATTTTTAAAAAACTTTTCTTCTTAGAGGATGCTTATTTATAGTCTCAAATGTATTTTGGGATTTTTTTTATTAAATTTCTCTTTAAACTTCATTAAATAATACAATTTTGTACAAATAATTGAATGTTATGCTACTATTTACAAAAATAAAATCTGAAATCCAATAAAAGATAAGTTCGTTATAATTTTTTCAATTCACAAATGTGATTTTGCCCTCATGATAAGATAAAATGGCCACGACAGGTAATGGGTTAAAGTAAGCAGTTTGAACCACGGAATTCAGGAAAAATGAAAGTACGTCATTCCATAAAGCAAGTACAAACACTGTGTTTCTGTTTCATGTTTACTGTAATAAAGACTGTTCATTTACTTTGAGTTCAATCTTGTTGTTTAATTCATTATCAAGACTGAGATTTACATAGATTTAGCATTACTTCATATTTGATATCTTGACCCCATCCCTTAGATAGCATAATTTCTTTTCTCACCATTTACTCCACAAACTATCCTATCCACACATCATACAAGAGAATCACCTATAACAATAACCTCTATGTTTTTCATTCTCATCCATATATGTCCTTTTTGTTATCCTTCTCTCCCCTACTTCCTCAACTGCACAAGCTAAAGGCTGAAATATATTACTTAAGAGAACCTGCTCATTATAATTAATTGTAGTCTGGGAATGAATACTCAACACTAAATATGAATAGCCTATAATATCTGAAAGATATGAAATCACATTGATCAGATGTTCTGTCAATGGAAAATAGCAATTATATGCTGAATTGTAATTTCATTATCAGATACAATTAAATAAAAGTATAACAGAAAGGTGTAATACTGCTAGACATCAAGAGATCAGAGAGAAAGATACTGTTTGACTTAATCTCTTAGAGAACTGTACATATTGTTAACTAGAATTTTTGAGATAATTTCCAAATTTAGGTTTTTCTTTCTGACTGTTTTTCCTAAAGTTATATTCTTCACTCAAGGTTATTTTGTAGAATTAAAAGTTTTTAAAGTGAAATCTATTGTTTGTATAAGCCTTGGCTGGGCAGTATTTGAGTTGTAAATATACTTTTATGAAGGTTTTAATAAATATTTATTTTATTAAGAATCCTGGTAGAAATGTTTCAGTTGATCTTAGATAGAATAAAATAGTTTTTAAAGAAATTTTGGCTTATTTTAGAATTGGATGATTAATTGCTATTTTTGTTGACATTGTAATATTTATCCCTGCTTTTGCCCTATTTACTATCTGTTAGATTTAGAGCTGTGTGGACATTACTTTCTGCAATATTAATGCACTTTTTCAAAATGATGTTTGCTTATATTGTTGTTATCAACAGTTTTTATACTTGTGTCACTGTCTATTTTATCACTCATCAACTTTGCATATGCTAATGATCATGCAGTATCAGTTTTAGAAGCTTCTGATACATCATTTGGCATTGTAGTAGTCTTACCACTGTTGCTAGAACTTTCTTTCCCCATGTGATCTCTGAAAAATAAATAAAGTTCAAAATACAATACTGTGCCATCAAAAATAGAATATACGGCCTGTATAATTGTACACATTCCCCATGTACTTTTGTATATATCCCAATATTCAAGCTAGTTGTCAATCTCGCAAGATAATCATGTCATGTAATTAGATGTGGCAACTTGAGATGTCAGTGTCCAATATACACAAAAATTGCACACTAAAGCCAGATCTTATTTGTGTGATATTTTATATTTAATAATATAATTTATTCAAAATTTTCAGTCAACAGCATTAAAATTATGTATTAAAAACACCTGAAAATGTAACTGTCCCAAGGACATGTATGGTATGGAGAATACCATGTTTGTGTAAATTTTGCACCTATTTGAAATAGGCTAACACAACTATTTCAAATCTTTTGCTTTTTTACAATATAAAACAATATAATTTTCTATCTCTTTCCACTAATCATTTGTGTATCAAACTTAATAATTAATCAATTGCAAAAGATATGACCAAAGGTTTACTAAAATATTATAACTTATTTTCTCTTGAGGAAAGAGGGTTAACATGTGATATTATTCAAGTTTATAAGATTAATCAGAAAATTCACGGGATAAAGGTCTCTGACTTAACTGTACTAAATTCTAAAGATAACTGGATGAGAGAACATAATATTAAGACTTATAAAAGACAGGGTAAGCTCCAGTTAACGTAACATTTTAGGCCCATTCATTTCACCAAATATCAATCTGCCTATATCAAGCCTAGACTCCCCAAGCTCTTTTTTGAACTATCCCAAGCCTGTTGCATGTACCACATCTGGAGAACACCTATTCCAAAAACTAACCACCCTGTTCAAAAAAGAAAATTGCATAATTTGTAGATGATTTCTATCCTGCTAAATCTCAAATCTGTCCTCTACTCCTACAACTCTTTCCATTAAACATGAAAAAAAAAAAAAAGATGATGCAATCCTACCTATTTCCTTACTTATTATAATTAAATTTCATCTGCCATGTGTTTGTCCAACTAACCAATCTTCCATCTAAGCCTCTATGAATTAAGTCTAACAAAGCCTATAACTAAACTGCAAGCCTTCAAAGCATCAAGAAACCATGATCTAGTGTAAGTGATCATAGTGTCTGACCTGTTCTAACAAATCTTGCATGCTACCAAAAGATCAAATGTGACAAACCAATGTCACTTGTGATAGTCATTATATTCAAAATGATGATGCAGCACTATAAAGCTGTTTTCAAGCAATCACTTTTGTCAACAGCTGAATAACAGTGCTTAATTGTGGAATTTTTTAGTTGCTTAAGACTTTTTGCTTTCATGTTGTCCAACTAGCACTAGCAGTCTAATGTATGTGTTGGACCCACAGTACTAAAATCAAGACCTGGAGGAAAATTAGTAGATTGAAGCCATGGAATGGTTGTTAAGGTTGATGAGAATGTCTCCAATGTGAATCTAGTGATTGTTTTTGTGATGTAGCTAAATACAGATAAGTAATAAATTATGGAGCAAGAAATTTCTATGTAAGTAGCTAGAATTACTGCACCTTTAACCTTATGTAAAGCCTAGAAATTTTTGCCAGTTGGTATCAGAAGTTGCTATGCGAGTTTAAGCTTACAACCTAACCATAGTTGTTTGTAAATATAACTGAAAAGCACGAAAAATAACATGTCTAACAATAGAGAGAGAACAGCTAAACTTGTTACTGTGATTGTGAACTGTGATAAAAATTAATAGCACTAATTAAGAATGAAAAGTATAACCTATCAGCTGTAAGTACTAAAACTAAAAGGACTGAAGCCATTTAATGTTTGGAAAAAATTTGTTTAAAATAAAATGAATGATTAAACAAGATCGAAACCAATGAAGACTAACCCAGGTTGACACATAAGAGATTGAGACACCCAGTACCAATGTCTAAGCAGCCGAGATCAATACCCTCATAATGTATAATATGTAAACTAAGATTTTTTCTTTTTTAGCTAATATTACTATTAATAACAACTAATTTTACTTTTAGATTAAACATGCAAAACTGTGAAACACTCATACAGATAATATTACATTTAAACCTATTTTGGAAGCTAACATTATAATTTTAAGTTACACATCAGTCTTTATTAAAAGTTTTAGTCTCATATCATTTTGGGAATTAAGTCAGGCTTACCTTCACAATAACAATACCGGTGCAACAAAAATAATATAACCTTCCACGCCAGTATAATACAGCTTTTACATCTAACTTTAGTCATTATTCTCAGCACTGATGACAATGTCGTGATGCTATAGTAACACTACAGAGGGTTATATTTTTTATTATTTTCGAATTAAAATGCTTTTGGGTTGTATCAGATGACACAACAGAGAAGATTACCTACTAAATTATACTTGCAGGCTTTCAAAACAACCAATTAATTTCTATGGCCTCACTCAAAACCCTATAGTATAATTATTTAACAGAACAAATAGATATGCGTATAATATTATCGTTCATACCGGTATCTCACGTTTCTTTAAAAATACACGTCATGTCAATACACTTCCGGCGGCGCTACGAAACAGGAAATAGAATTTTATGACACATGCGTGGTAGTTTACCTTTACACAAAATGACTAAGAATCGAAAACTGTGAATTTCGAAGTTTACCTTTAACTTTATTCTCCTGATTGCATTTTATGATTTGTTAATGGTAGGATTAAAATATTTTATTATTATATGGTATTAACGTATAATGAAGGAGTAGTTGTTGGGTAAAACTTGAAAGCTTTTGCCAATTCAGTTTGAAAACGATTTACGTGTCGCTAGTACAGATTGCGGATTAAATATGAAGCGCCTAATTTTTGATCTGCTTGTACTAAGGGGGTCGTCCTCGTTAATACTATAACTAAACTATATGAGAGCATTTTTGATAGGCCTAATTTTTTGCGTTAACTTAAAAGGAGTTAAATGTAATTTATCACTATCAGTTTATTTAAGATTAATGTTTAAAATATGTTAAACAGTTTACACATTTTGTTTGTCATTTTCCTTTTGTTTTTGTATTATTTTGGATAGTTTAGGAATGCTATATACTAATAGTAATACTATGATTAATAATATACTATATAGTAAAAACACTCGAAATATAATTTATTAATTACTACCACGGCACTAGTATTAGTACTTCCAGTACGAGTACCAGTGCAGTAGCATTGTGTAACTTGGTATAGCTTTAACATTTATTATTTTCTTTGCATATTTTAATTAGTGCCTGTATTTAAAAATCTGTTACATTACTTTTCAAATTAGTTGAGCTTTAGTAAGAAGCTCAACTATATTAATAATTTTACAAAATCTACTAAATTTTAGATTAAACCTAAAGCCACAAATTTCTTTGGTCAGTAACACAAGGTTAGTTTTTTGCAGTTAATAGTAATGTTAACACAGTTTGTTGCCATTACTATTAGTACTAATATTGGCTTTTGTGTTAAGCTTTATAGCCCTCTGGCTAAGTAATTCTGATATTTACAGATTTTAGATAGAGAGGTTAAATTATATTCAACTTTAAAACCAGAAGATGGGATAAGTTGAGTACTTGGATATTTATCACACAATTTCAGTATATACCATTCTTGAGTCTCTGAGACATCACATTCAATTATAAGTGATCCAGTTCCTTTTTTAATTATTTATAGCCTGTGTAATGATTATAAAATATTTAATATAATATCAATAATATAAATATTATTTTCTAACAATGAGTAGTACCATACATATACAAACAGATTAGTGAAATTGTCTAACAGTCAGTTAAGAAGTCTGGCTAAGAAGTGTTTTTTAGGTATATAAAGTATACCATACAAATAGTTTTTAACATAAGACAGACAAAACTTATAGTTACAATTATAATGCAGATTTTATGTTTTGCCATTTAAAATTATTTAAAACACCTGTTACTTCAGTTGAGAGAATAGTTTTAGACACAGTTTTGCCATTTTGACTTCATTGGAGTCGAAAGAAATATGTAATAAAGCTTGTGGACATGCACAGAACTGATCAGATAAACTTTAAAAGTATTTTGTATTATAATATTAATAAGATGACGCATTGCCTCAGGAATAGCATGTGAAACATTGTTATAATATTGTATTGTTGCAGCAAACAAATTGGAAAAGTCTTTTGCAGTAACACTAAATATTAACTGTACAGTAAATGTAAATAAAAAAAGTATCAAAAGCAAAAGAATTATTGTAAATAATATGAACAAAAAAACTACAAAATCAACTTACCAATCCAATACATTTCATAGTTCCCTTGCTAGTAAAGATATTAAATCATTTACAAATTACTTGAAGGTTTTTGTTTAATAGCATTTTTTCTCAGAAATTAATGAGTCTTCTACATTTTCTACACAAAACTCTGATATTTTACTAGAATAATCACATTTTAAGTGATGTCAATGTTAGGTATACCTTACTTGTTAAAATAATGTTCTACTTTAACAATGGCTTTACCATAAATGTGTGCAAAGTTTTACATTTTGTTGATTGTAACACTGGGCCAGTAAGATGAAACTCCATTGATAACTTTTTACTTCTTCACACCAGCCTGCTTTCTTTCGTTTTAACTAGCCCTCTATTCTAAATGAGGTAATTTGTGTTCTGCAGTCTTTTATACAAGACCTTATGAAATGCTCTCTGAAAATTCAAATAAACCAAATTTTCTCCTTTATCCTCATCCAGATCAAACTAATAAGAAAGTAGATTAATAAGGCAAGATCTTTTGTTTGCATATCCATATTCACTGTCTGACAAAATTATCAAATCCAGGAAACCTTATTTATTTTCAGACTTCCAAGTTTTTTCCAACAAGCTTTATAACACAAGAATGATTTATGATTATAATTACTATAGCTAGCAGTTTAAGTACTTGTATCATTTTTACATATGCTAATAAATTCTTGGCATTATGAAATAGTTATTTAACCCTATGTAGATGGATTTAATCCATTTGACTTACCTTGTAACTACCATGTTACCATGAAATTATATACACTGTGACTCAGAATGTACTAAGTGTATCTTTTAATACTAGAAATAAATGATTTTATAACATCAAATCGTTTTTTTTTAATTTGACACTCAATGATTCACTTTAAAGCTTCTTCAGGAGCATTCTACAAAAATGCAAACTGTAACTGGTTTGTGTTTTAGTGGAATGCTCCTGAAGAAGCTGTAAAGCGAAAGTTGAGTGTCCAGTTAAAGAAAAACAACAATCTTGTGTTATAAGGTTGTTTATTTCTAGTATCAAAATGTCTTCTTTACACCAATGTTCACTACAGAAATTAAATAATAAGTGTATTGTTACAAAATTTTGCAATATTTTAGTAAACATTACAAGTCTGTTTTACACAAAAAATCAGATTTTGTAATAACATATTTTTACTAAAAATTTATCAGTGAATTTATAAAGCCTTTCCTGAGTCAGTAATTTAAGTATAAATGTACTTATTTTTTATCTGAGTTTCATATTTTATTTGTATGACCTTGAGAGCTCGCATATGAATATCAAAAGTTTTTTCTGTAAAACTTTATGCTTTATCTCTTATTTTCTCTACCCTAACACTAACTGCAGTGAAATAATCTGTAGGAAAAGTTTTTCTAGAATGACTGCGTATAATAGATAGACAATTACAATTACTTATCCCAACAGTTTCAGACTACTTAAACTTTTCACAACTGCTTTAATTTTATGTTTTTTTTTATTTGAATCATATCTAACTTACATAATAAAGCAACAAATCATCCTGTGAATGTTCAAGGTAAATCTGGATGGGCTCCTCATAAAGATTTGTTTTTCATTTAAGTTTTATTATCAAATCAAGTAAGTTTCTAATCTTTAATTTTAGTTAATTTTGTTGAAAAATATATAACAATACATAAAACTCGAGAAATTTAGCACTTGCTTTATCCTTGAGGTCTTTTGCACTCGACTGCATAGTTCAATATACCTGTTTTTCTCTCACTGTGTTGGTTGTCATGTTGCTTTCAAATATGCATTTTTGAACACAAAAAGTATCAGGCACTAGAGTAGAATGTTGTAAAATTAATATAATTTATCTGGCTTTTTAACTAACCTATAAATAGCTTAAAATGTCATTACTGCTCAAAGTAACATCTTTAGACACTTCATGAATTAGCAGCTTTGACCACTAAAACAAAACAATCACCTGATTTATGTAGTTTAGTACAGCTCTTTTAATTGATTATGAACTTGTTCAGTAGTGATGTAAGTAGGAATTTAGACATTTCTTAAAAGACAGGATATGGGAGAGGTATGTAGGTTGAACAAATATACTGATATCTCAGTAAAGCAAGAATACTTGAGATTGAAGTTTTATTTTCTGGCTTGTAAATATTTGTAGTTTGTGTTGTGTTTCTAAATGATTCATTGTCAAAATCACTCATAAGGGAAGGGAAAAATGTATAAATGAAAACTTGAGAGTGCTATCACATTATGCAATTCAGGGGTGCAGATTGATAATCTAAGAAATTAAGTCTTAGATAATATAAAAATTTCAATTATAAACTATGTTTGGATGCCAAGTTTGTTAATATACAGTGATGATCAAGTAGTTTAAATTTTGATCATAAATGTAAAAAGGTTGTGAGATGTGCACCTTGACCCTCACGTATCCACAGGATTAAACATAATACTTGTACAAGTACTGAAAAATGTAAGATTTTTTAAAAAATTAATAATAACAAGTTCTAAATGTTAATAATAAATTACAAACCAGTATATATATGTGTGTGTAAACACACGTGTTGTTTGATTCATGAAGCACTCCTAAAATTATGAGTCTGTTCAGTGAAAAGATGCAAATTCACAGTATACATACAATTTATATTTTCCACTGATCTTGATCTGATAATATGTTTTATAATATCCTTTTTTGTTTGACCTGATGATATAATTAGAATATGAATGTGCTTTCTGTGTGAAGTACAGTACATTCTTTTTTGTTTGTTTAATATCTATTTGAAAGCATTTTTTGCAAGGTAAAGGTTTACACATGAATAACCAAAATTAAACTATTCAGTTTACATACACTATGTTAATTTCAAATATTTAGTTTTCTCTACAGTCTCATTGGGAATGTTTTAAAAATTACCCAGCAAATTTATGTTCTAATTTTGTCTTCATGATTCTAATTTTAATTCTGTTTGTGTTTTGTCATTAGAGTTAATGTTTGCCCAGCGCATCTGGAGAAAATATTTCAAGAAAACATGGATAGTGACCAGAGACCTGGAACAAATGATGAGTTAGACAGCTGTGTTCCAGACATTTGCTCATATGAAGAGTATGACCATGTTAAGGTACATGTTTCTACAGTACTTGTTGTTTTTTTATTATGATAAGTGAATGTGTATTTAATCATGAATGGTGGGTGTTCTGGTTTATTGTTATCATAGTAGTTATCACAATTTTTAAGTCAACAACCACTTAATATAGACTAATAGCTAGTGTTATAAAGAATGGTGTGAAAGCATTTTTTATAATCTTATGCACACTTTAGTTTTTTGCTGTAACAAGAATAAGATGGTCTTTTTTTTCTCAAAATGTTTATTAGTTAGCATAACATAAATAACTGCAGTTACTGTGTGTGTGCTTGGAATTATTGTATTTCATCAGTATTTGTATCATTATTAAATTTCACAGTTGATCATACCTAGTACTAGGCTAAAATGTTTACTTGAATTTTCTAGTTAGTGATGTGTAGTATATAACTGAAAAGTTTTGAATACTTAAAAGTTTATAGTACAAAACAATAGGTCTTTCTGTGTAGGTATATTTCTGGACAAGTAAGATAACTAAAGATGGTGGTGTTTATACTCTGGACCATGTATTACACTTTCTCTAATCTACAAGAACTTAACCATGAACCAAACTTTTAGTTCAAATTACTTTTGGTAATAATTGGTAACAGTAGTTTTGCATTGTAATGTAAAATTTGATAAGCATTGTGCTAATAACATATGCAGCAAATGTGTAAATATAAAATTTAAACAAATTTTGTATAGATTCAGTGTTTGCTGTAACACTTTAATATTTTGATTCCCAGGAACCCAACCACTTAGAAGAAATAGGGTCCATTTATAATTTTTTACATAAAACATAATAAAACCAGAATTTATTTTTTTTACTTATTACTTACTAACTGTTGTAACATTATGACATTTTCTACATTGCATTGGTTTGCGCATGAGGTTTTTTCTTCCCACTATGAGTTTCTCCTCTTCAAGTAATACACATGATTTTGAAGATAAATAATGCTCCATCCTAGTCAAATTGCTATATACTGAATTTTGTAAAACAGGACAGAATATTTCCACCCATGACACCACAGGAAATAGTATGGATGCTGTAGTGTTGGATTGAAGCAAAATGTAGACTAAAGATATCAATTTTACTGAAAACTACACAGTGATGAATAGAATTAAAAGGGTAACATGAAGGTAACTTGAGTATGCATCACTGTAACACATTATAGATCAATTTTCTCCAAAAAATTTGAGTAATTATACACAAATTAAGTGTAATTAAGTTCCTTAATCTAATTAATGAGTTCAAAACAGACAGAATTTTTTCTGAAACATGAAAAACTTTCCCTGTTGAAATAGATGTTGCTCCATCCAAGTTGCCACCTAGTGAATTCCATAAAACAAAACAGAACATTTCCACTTGTGCACCACAGGAAATGGTATGGATATTTTAGTGTTGGGTCATAGCAAATGCTAAATATGATTTCAATTTTACTGGAAACTATATGATGATAAATAGGACACATTACAAAGCAATTTACTTCATCCATGATGATACAATTAGGACATTCATGCATAAAAATTGCATTAACATGAATATTGAGCTTTTCCTTGTTGACTTACTCTCCTGCTGTCAAGTAAAATTTTCTTAGTTCCTTAGTTTCAAATTATTCAATAATGCATTCCACTAATATTAAAAAATAAAATGATTACAATTAATTTACTAACATAAGGTGGAATGTTAAAAAATACAAATTATCCAATTGTGGTGGATGTTTAAAAAACTTATTCACCCCTCTTCTCCCTTCTGAAGTTTCCAATGCCAACAAAAGCAAAAAGTATACATAGAGTTAGACTATTAATTTCCCTGAAATAAGGCAGAAGGCTACTGGAAGGGGCACCTGTTTTAACCACTTGCACCACTATACAGTAGTGTATTGTCTGTTAGTCAATCAGTAGACACTAAAGTTATGTAACATAAGGGATGCTTAACATTGCAATTTGTACTGTGTGGATGTAAGTAAAAGGTGTGCATGCCATGAATCATGAGAAGAATTATGCACTCTGTAGGCTACAACACAGCATGACATATGAACTTCAAATGCAAAATATAAAAATATTTGTTACACTTGATTTTGGTTTTATTTACTCTTGAAACACAACATTTACGGGAACCCTGCAGAAGTACATCTTCTATGTTAACTATGACAACTCAGTGCTAAAACTGTAAAACCTTAGTGGTTTCTATAACATGTTACTGGTAGTGCAACTACCAATTGCTCATCTGGTAAGCATATCAGATTCACCTGTTATCTTTTCTCTGGCAGACATGCACAGAGTACAAAGGAGAAAAGGGTCTTCATATTGTTCCTCTTTCTTGGACCAGCTATGTATTTGAACTTTACTAGTACACTGTTTTTTGGAATTCAGCATTTGAATGGGGTATTTGTTTCTCTATCTGTGTCATTTGATGATCACTTCAGTTTGAACAATTGATTTTGATGTTCCCATTTAGTTGTATTTTGTCACATCTTCCACCAACTTAGTCACATGGCTTATCTATAGATTTTTCGGTTTTGGAGGCTCATAGTGCGTGGTCACTTGGTAACATAGAAGTGACATATAACTTGCAATATGTAATTATAAATTTAGCGAATTTTAAAAAGAGATAACGCATTTGGCAGATATGAAAAAAAAAGTACTGACATAGGAAGTTATGAAATGTTTTTACACCAAGAAACCACATTTTTTATTTTGTATCTGACATTTAATTTTTATTTTCTCAACCTATTTGATGTTCCCATTGCATTGTCTTAAAACTGTTGAGCTCTTTCTTGAGCATGTGTGGGTGTTTTTATATTCTTCCTGGGTGCTTACTTTATGGGATTAAGTTTCATGATTTGGCCAGATTTTGATGCAGGGGGCCTTAACCATAGGAGCTGGTACTTGTTAACTCATCCAAGAATCTTCCACTACAGGTGCAGAATAACACATTAAGATCTGACTCTAATTACCTGTTTTTCCATCACCTGTAACCATGTATGGGCATGTGACAGTTCTACAGGTACATATATATACTGCTTTTATATATGTATATTATTTAAAGGGAGATGAAAGCAAGGAGATACCCAGCTGAGAAGAATTTTCAGAGTATCTTTACTTAGTTTAGTCTTATGAGATTGGTCCACTCCATTTATTCTTCCATGAATCCAGTCCATTGAATTTACTATGCTGTTGGATTCTTTTCAATTCTGCTTGATCACTTTTCTGTTGTTGTGGTCTAGATTGAATTCTAGAGAGGTGGTAAGTAAATTAGAGAAGGGAAAAACTGAGAGAACAAATTTCATGATTTTCAAACTAAGGGAGATTGAAGATTTATATAATTATTTTTTTTATAAAATTAAGAACATAAGTCTTATATGATATTAAAATTTAATTTATTACCTACATTTTGATGCCAAGATGATTCGTATACATTGATAATAAAGTACTTTAATTAAATTTTGAATGTAACTCTGTAAAAGGTTGTGACATGCTCACTTTGACGTCCCTCTAGCAAGAGGGTTAATTGACAAACTGATAAAATCAGTTGCCTGAGAGTAGTGCATACATCAATTGGTGTCATGTAAACTAATCAATTAAACTGAACAATCAAAATTAATATTTCCAATTATTAATGCTTTTGATTATTTCAACAACCAATTAACAAAATTATGATTAAATCAATTGTCACAAAAATAATCAAAATTAAAGGTTTTGGTTGTTGCAGTTTTTGATTTTTTCAATTATCCAACTAATTGAAATATTGCCTCAAAACTTGCTCACCTTGTCAAAGCTAGTTAAGCTACTAAGGCTATCTTCCACTGTTACTAATTTTGAACTGCTAACTAGAGAGAAGGCAACTTGGCTTGCAGTGCCCACTACCAGTTTTTTTATTGTATGTATTATTGTTTAAGGAACACCATACGAAGTGACTAATGAAATGCCCAGCTCTGCATTGTCTCAAGATGCTAAATTTTGTTTTATATCCACCACGCATGAAATTTTAAAAGGCTTAGCAACCTACGTGAAGCAGCAACCAAGTACAAAGGTCATAACTAGAAGAGATAATTGTTTGCCTTACTATTTTATTTAGTGTTCTATGTTTTAAGAAAAATAAGTTTAAGAACTATTTTCTAAATAGCAATAATCTATATACATGTATAATGAATAGTAATTGAAATGTGACTGTATTTTACAAAATACTAGTCTACTAAAACACAGCCAAGAGTGGTCATTTCGTATAGACTAAAGGTCAGTTTTATATTATTGAATACGGTGACATGAGTGCACTTGTGCCGCATCATTGTAACTTCTGTGTTGTTAGCTAGGCATGGCTGAAAGGTCAATATATTAAAACTAATAAATATATATAAATGTATATTGTTATGAGATTTAAGCTATTTCATCTAAACATTTATGTTATAATTTGTGTTCATTCTAGAATAAAAGAGGCATAATTTATACTTATTTCCTAATTTTTATGGTGGTTGTGAGATCAATTAAATCTACCGAACCTGTACAGAGATTAATTACTGAAAATAACAGATAAAATATAAAGTTTTTTCTTAAGAAACAT